CAGAAGCTTTGCAGAGGGAGACCCAGACTCGAAATCAGGAGGAGCTTCCTGACCGGGAGCGCTACGAAGCAGGGGAACAGCTGCCTCCTGGAGTGGTGGGGCCTCCACCGCTGGAGGTCTTCAAGCAAGGCTGGAGAGCCACTTCTCTGGGATGGTCAGAGGGCTCCTTCCAAGCCAATGACTGGATAATTTCTTCCCTCCACCAGCCAGGGAAGACACGAGCAAGTAACGTGGACCCAGCATCTAACCCATATACTGCACTAAGCCATAACAGGCTTGCTTTGGCGTAAGAATGCTTATAAACCAAGGGTCGATGGCGGCTCATTCAACAATTCATAATTAGGCAAACTGCTGTTTAGCACAACGTGTGCACCTGGCCAAGATAGGTAGACTTTCTCCGTACCCCCAAACTGCGTCGGATTTTTTCCTGGCACTCTGATCAGCTGCAATTTGCCACACTCCCTCTCGCTTTCAGTCCTCGTCCCCTGCCTGCCCCTTTCTCAGCCACTTTCCTGCATGAATTATTTACAAGGAAAGCACAGAAGAGGCTCAAGATCAGACCCATTTAGGTAACAGCTTAGAGAAGAAAAATGGAAAGCTGACTTTAAAATCAAATGTAATTGCTTTCCAATCTTAGAGTCAGAGGGATGTTATGGTTTTATTAAATGAATTAGTGCCGTATTTTGTACTGAGTCCAGTTCCAAATTCACAATTCGGTATTTTCTAGTTATCTCGGGAGGCTTCACTTCATATCCACAAATTACTGAGATTATAAATCAATTACTGTTTCACTTGTGTGTGCATTACAGAATCAACTCCCTATATTGCATAAATGTAGTATCTTTATTTGGTATGCACCTATATCTAAGTGCAGGACAAGCAAACAATAATATTTGTACGTGTGTGTGTGTGCAAATACGATCCAACTCTAGCATGACCATAATGGAAACTGTTACTGGTTTCTTCCATTTCCATAAAGGGCCTGAAAAAAGAAACAGGGAGTCCCTGGTTGGGCAACAACCAACGCTTTTATTCACAAGGCTGTCTAGAAGTTGTCTACAACTTCCAATCTGGCTATGCACTCTCACACTTTTCCCATAATTTTCATACTGCAGAAAATCCATTACGGGATGCAAATTTGGACCATGCCAGTTGTAGTACTAATAGTAAGCCCACAAAAGCATAGCAGATGACAGCGCACGGCTGACTTGGGCTGATCTCCAGAAGCCAAGCAAGGTCAAGCTCAGTCAATGCTTGGATGGGAGACCACCAGGAAATCTCAGAGCTATAGGCTCGACTGGAAGTTGAAACGCATCCTTGAAGAAAGCAACAGCAAATCATGTCTAGACTGTTGTCAAGGTACACAATCGTGAGCTCAACAAAGAAGTGACTTCACCTGGCTAATGCTTCTGATAGTGCTGGGAGGACCATTTCCAAACCGGCACGGATTCTTTGGCTTTGGATGATCTCAGAAGCACTGGGCCTGGTTATTATTGGATGGGAGACCATCTGGGAATCCCAGGCTCGACTGAGAGCAATGAACTTTTAAACTTATGCCAGGCAGGCTGTTGTATGTTACAGAAGCCAACCGCAGGTCAACCTTTCTCAATGCAGGAAGGTATCCTTAAATAACGGAGGTCTTGCAGATACGCAACCGTCTCTCCTTCTCTAGAAAATCATGGCAACCGCGTTAGCTAAGTGCCAAAAAAGCAGCTGCGTGGTGCTCTTCTCTAGCCCGCTTCCTTGAAAACAGAGCGGCAGGCAGATTCCAACATTCGCTTGGAAAACCTTTGCAAGAGATCAGCTGCCGAGCAAAAAACAGCCGGCAGAGAAGCGGCACCACATTTTGCAGCCCGCCCTCCCGCAGACCTTCTCTCCAGAAACCCTAAGTGGCACTTGCTTCCTTTGCTCCATCCATGGACGGACTGACCCTATTCGGCCACCTTGGGCCAACCACCCAGCATTTGGGCATCGCGTTGCGAGACGTTCCCCCCCAACCATCCCACCAGGGGACCCCTTCTTACCCGGTAGAGCGCAATCCAGTCCCACGAGCTGCGATGGAAAGCCGAGGAAGTCCTGTAGCGGACCACGGCTTGCTCCGGCTTGGTCCACTCGTCGGCCACTTGGATCTCCACCAGGGGCACGTCGGCTCGGGAACCAAACTGCCAGGAGGAACGGCCGGGAGAGGAAGGCTGCAGCCGGCTGGGCTTCCTCAGGCCCTTGTGCGGCTGAGCCAGGAAAGAAATTCGGAAGGGCAGCGGGGGGCCCTTCGCTGGCACCCTTGGGGCCCTTTTGGGACTCGTTGGGTGGAAATGGGAACCAGAGGGAAAACGCTTTCCCCACCCCGTATTCCCTACTCGGACATCTCTGCCAAAAAGAGCCCCAAATTGTGCCGTCAAGCCTCAGTGGCCAAATGGCCCCATTTTGAGAGCAAAGGCTCTTTGGAGGGCTTTGAAGGGAGAAATGGAACACTTTCCCTCCAACTCACGTTGGCCTGTTTTACTTTTGAATGCCAGAGACGTGCCAATGGCGTGCAACCATAGGTGGCCCACCCCTGTTATAAAGGTAGAAGCAGGAAGCAAATTTCTCTGCCGCGTTTGTATTTCAAAGCAGTGACTGTGTGGGTGTCGAAGGGGCAGAGTCCTCATCACTCCAGCCTGTCCGCAGAAAGTCAAGCTTTACACCTCCAGAACCACTTTCCTGGGGAGTGGAAAGGGAGTCACGAGGCTTCGCTTTGGCTCCTTGTGTGAGAAGAGTGTAAAATCACTGCATATTTACCACAACCGGGCACGAGGAACGCGGCAATGTTAACATGCCTTTGCTAACGCTCTCTGCAAAATATCCCTCTAAAGCTCAGATCTGCATCCCCACCCCTCTGGGTGGGCTTCAGAGGTTTAGCCCTATTTTCCCTGGATCCCTGATGGAGCTTTGCCGCATCCTCCCAATCAGGGTGGCATTTCCTGAAACAAAGGCGACCCAGGAGGGTGCTGCTGGGGAGATTTGCAAGGAAGGGGGGCCAGGCACAGCTTAAACTCTCCTGGTTTTCTTATTCAGAGCATAACTTGCAATTAAGCGGATCAAGGGCCTCCTGGGATTCCTTCAGAAGACTTACATTCCTCCTCTTGGCAGCGAACAGAAATATACCTGTAGGTTTCACACTGCATTTTCCCCCAAGGTCAAAACAGAACAAGGGACCAAAACGCCCTGCATGGGGAGAGCCGGCAGGTCAGGAGGAAGGCTAAGACCTTCCCTCCCTCCCTCTCTTTCTACACACAGGGAGCAATTAATAACTATATTCTCCTGGCCTTCAGATCAGCACTCTCGGGGGGCCTTACAACAGGGTGATGTTTCTGAGCCAGCAGACTAGCACGTAGTGACCGTAACTTAACGTCACAGTAGGAACATGGCCAGGTTTCTTTCTAAAAGTCCTGGTTTGCAGTGTGCAGGGTAAAGCTCCCAGGGGTGCGACCACCGCTATCCGCAGACTCAGGCAGGGGGGCGTCCACTGGGTTCTGGACTCACTTGTACCGCAAAGATGGAGACGACAGGCTTGTGGTCGCTCACGGAGTACTCCATGTGGCTGACATAGCACAGCTGGGTCACGGCCAGATTCCCACTGCTGGACCTGCCAGGATGCCCCGCGAGGCCACAGCTTTTGATCTTCCATAGGATGCGGTCTGTCCAAGCCGGTTTCCGCTTCTTGGCGCTGCGGGGCACATCAAAGGACAGGAAGTGAGGCCCCAACCGGGGCTGGATTAACACGCAGAGTGCTTATTCTGCAAATAACAACACATCTCTGTAGTTCTTGGGCAAGAATACAAAGCTGATTGTCCATTGCCTTCTCCTGGAGTGCTTTTCCAACATCTCCGTCGTGACATCTCTGGGGCGTTCTGGTGGCCTCCCATCCAAGTACCAAACAGGCCCCATCCTGCTTAGCTTTCCCAGATCAACAGGACGTTCCACCACCCCCTGAATTAGAGCAGAATTCCATCTAAACCGCTTTGTGATGGCGCACGAGTAATCCTTAGCTACACACACACATGGAAGTTGTGATGCACAACATGTTTAACCCAACTTAGACCGTAGCCTGCTGCCAGAAGACCACCGTCTCCTTGCCAGCCAGCCCCCCCCCATGCCATGCCACCTGCCAGGCCCGCCCCTCCTTCCGGGTGGCAAAGCTCCCTCCCTCCGAAAACCGCAGTCAGAACTCCGCAAGAAGCAGGAGAAGCAGGAAATGTTTGGGCAGTGACCCATTTACCTCTGCCAAGTAGGTACCAAGTTCGAACTATAAATATTGCCTAAGGTTACTTTTATGCTGGAAAGAGTGCAGCAATTTAGGTTTTATGGTCTGATGTACGTTGGTATTGATGTGCATTTTGCTCTACGTCAACTCAGCAATCGTGTGCCTTAGAAACAGACGAATACCAACCAGGGGTTTGCTCAGAGCCTCACTTCTCCTGTGTACTTTTTCCACTGCGGATTCTCTTAAGACAGTGTTGTCCAAACTTGGCCACTTTAAGATGAGTGGACTTCAACTCCCAGAGTTCCCCAGCCTGGCTGGGGAACTCTGGGAGTTGAAGTCCACTCACATTTAAGTGGCCAAGTTTGGACAACACTGTCTTAAGAGAATATGTTTGGGCAGTGACCCATTTCCCTCTGCCAAGTAGGTACCAAGTTCGAACTATAAAGATTCTCTTAAGACAGTGTTGTCCAAACTTGGCCGATTCTCTTAAGACAGTGTTGTCCAAACTTGGCCGATTCTCTTAAGACAGTGTTGTCCAAACTTGGCCATCTCTCCCCACACAGGCTGGTTTGCACTAAAGCTAAAAAGGAATGCTTGCTTTTTTTCCTTCCCTCGTGAAAAAAGTAAATCTTAATTTTGTCAATATGTGGTGAGAGCTCCCAAAGGAGGAAGAGCTGAATTGCTTAGACCCACGACTGAAAGCCCAGAGCCAGGAGGGGGAACTATAGGTACCATTTTTCTACTCGCCAGAAAGGCCCAGCAGCTGCAAGATCCCTACCCACTTCACATGCCAGGGTTAGTGGGGAGGATGCCAGGTGGCCAAAGGTCCTACCAAGCAGCCTCCCAAGGCAGGCAGGGAGGGGGCAGACCCAGAGGGCGGTCAAGACCTCCAGCCTTTCACCCTTTGGGCTCAGCCCTGCTGCCACAGCCACAAGCCACCCAACCCAAGTCTGGCTTGTGAACCCAGGCCCAGAGCCCCAGAGCTGAGTGGACCTCCGGCCACCGAACGTGCAAAGCTGCTTCACAGGACAAGGGACCTCCTTCTGGACTCTCAGCTTGGAAAAAACGGTGATGGCGAAGGAGCTTGTCACACCTGAAGGCTGAGTGTGCCCAGTACATTGTTGCCGGTTCCTGAACTGACCCGCTTTCTGGGTTGGCACAACACACTGAACCATAAACGAGCCAGGTCAGCTGGGTATGCATAACAGGCTAAGCCACAAACACAATAACGAAGATTAAGCCAATTGAGCTCGGTAGGTTGTGCAAATATACCGTTCTTTAAGCGACCCAGTTACACGTGCTAGGAAACTCAAGAGTTCCCCATCAAAATTTCTTTAATTTGCACCTCCTCACTGGAAGATGTGCTCAGAATGAGGACTCGTACTGAGACACAACAGGTAGCCTCTTCCATGGACAGACAACCATCGTGAGGCCAATGGCAGAATCCCAGCAGTAGGCCAGGATTAGTCAGTCACAGAGGAAGCCTTGGAAGGCTCCTCCGGAGACTGGTGGGGCAACTTAACCTTGAGAATAAATTTCGAGTGGGCTGGATCTCACCCCAGGTTAGATTTCAGCATCATAAAGAATTGAATTCATGCCTGCGTGCCCCAGTTCTCCTCCATACCTGGTGTCATACATGTTAGTTCCCACGTCGAATTTAAAGGTCGGGGGGAAGTTGAGGGACCCCTCTTGGAACCCCTTCAGGATGGGCCACGTGGTCTTTGCAATGTTAAGCTGCGGAAAGGGAGAAGCCGGGAGAAAAGCGCTGGATGGTTAGGGCTCTTTCTCTCTTTCTCCCCCCCCCAACACATACACTACAGCTCCCTCACACCCCACTGGTGGCCTCAGGGGCCACACGGGCCACACAGAACTCCTGGCCTCCCAGGAGCAGTCAACTACGTGGCCCACCGGGCCAGGCAAGGACAGTCAAGAGCTACATTGCCCAGCAACAACCATGCCAGAATTCATTAGGAGCTTCACCACCCTCCTGTAGCTTAAAGACAGACCAGGGTTTCTTACCATCAGAGGTGTGCATCCATGCACCAGTGCTGGAAGACTGCTAACATACCCAACAACTCTTTCAGGAATGGTCTGGTCATTAGTAATTATGACTGTCTGCACCCCTGCACTTTGTCCCCCTGTGACCTGCCTATTTAGTATGCCTCGTCCGAGCGTAGGCATGTACTCACATACCCCTTCTCCACAATATTTCTCATGAAGCACACTGTGGTCCCAAAAAGCTTCTGCCGTAACATGCTGGTTAGTTTTTGAGGCAGCAGACCTAGCAGGGCTGATATGTCCCTGACTGTCTGTGCCTGCAGAGGGAGGCCACGGACAGCAGGAGGAAAGGTCCAGCCGACCGTCTTGCAGTCTGTCATGCAAGAATTCTGGGTTCAGTTTTCCAGCTTCGCCAGGGAGGCTAGCAAAGGCCCCTGACTGAGGCTAGGAAGGACTTCCAGCCAAGAGTCAGAGCTAATATTTGGCTAGACGGACAGAGAGTTTGGCTTAGAAAATGGGGCCTTCCAAGACCTGGAAGGAATGCCAATCCCATTGACTAAAAAATGAAGATGCCCTCAAGTCAAGTTTGACTCCTGCTTGAATTGCTTCCATGGGATTTTCCTGGCCACAATACGAAGGAGTTGGCTATGGCCTTCCTCTGGAATGTTTTTTCGGATTTCCCACTCTAGCGTCCAGCTGTGTGATTCCCGGGGGGCCCTGTCCGAGCGAAGTTCAACCCCACTTAGCTTCTGGGTTGGCCAGGCGCTGCCATCTAGACGGACAGCACAGTCGAGGCTGATGTGAACTGAGCACAACTCCGTGGCTTCACGGATACGTCAATGTGGTTTTCCTGGCAACTGAATAAGTAGGTTGCCTTTGCTTTCTTCCAGGACTTTTTCCAGCTTCCCACTCCAGCCCTGGGATTCCCTGGAAGTCACCCTTCAAAGAATTAACCAGGCCTGACCCTGCTTAGCTTCTAAAACCAAACAAGGTGGGTTGACTGGATGCTGCCATCCTGCTACAGCCTTGACATGGCTGGAGCTCAAATCCAGGCAGAGCAGTAGCTGTGGTTATACAATGTACTGTATGTAACCAGGACAGCAGTTAGACTTGCAAAACATGAAGTTCCGGTTAGGTTGTATGCGTGCACGTATGTCTTTGTCTTACAAGTTGCATGAATGTGGCCACCAGATTTATTTATGGCCTGGAAAACTGGTCAATGGCATAACGAGATGAAGTATTTTTTGTAAATGCAGCCAACAGGTGAGATGACCAGTTTCTAGAATGCTTAAGAGCCTTAGGGATCACCTCCAAAGCAGAAACGGATGCCCACAGTACAGAGGCAAGATATCCCCAACACGCTCTCATGCACACTGAAGCTCGTTAAGATCCCACAGCCAGAACTGAATAGCAAACACTGAACAACTTTGGTATGATTTTCAGGAGAAAAGAAAACGGGTGTGTCAAGCTTCAGATAAACTGAACATATGGAGGATAATGAGAACATGCCTTCAACAAACAGAGGGGAAAATGGGCACAAAACCCTACATTTCGCAGCAATGCCAATACATCACACGGCTGGCTCCAGGCTGACTGGCCTAAACTGGGTATGAAAGTCCTTCCAAAATTTTCCATCGGATATGCAGTCCTAGAAATGGATCGGGGCATTTCTTGGAATCTCTCCAGGGCAGGGAGAGATCCTGAAACCATTTCTCAAGGGTAGAACTCCCCCTTAGAGATGGCAGAAGCACAACCACTGAAAGAGCCCCCTGGGCAGGGTTTCCTCCTGAGATCTTCCTTTGGGATTAAATGAACAAGGGAGGCGGCAGACCACCGGGGAGAGGGTCTCTGCTTCTGATCTTTCCATCGGTTGGGCCCTTTCCGAGATGCACAGACTGCCCGTGATCTGAAAAAGGCCCACGGGAGGACTCCCAGCCTGAGGTCTCCTTTCAGGGCTGAATGGAAGGGTGGGGAGCCAGAGAGAGGATTTCCTGTTACGAACCTTTTCACCCCTTTGCAGGGCCAGGTTGCTACTAAAATAAATGCCAACACCACACTGCATGCGTGAAAAAGTCTTTGGAAAGGTATTTTAATAGCGACTGCTCTTTCATCAAGCTGTATGACCACAGGATGGGGGGAAAGCACGCGGGAATTCTTTCTCAGCCCGGCACTGCTAATCTATCCGTCTGCCTTATGGTGACATCTGCCTCCAAATAGAGATCATGCTGCCAGAAAGGTAGAGCTTCAAGGAAGAAAACTCCCAGAAGGAGACCAAGCAGCGCTCTAATTTTTAAAAATTATGATGATTTTTCAGCCGAGGGATTTTGGGGAGAGCTCACGTGACAGACTTGAGCAGTGCTTGGACAAGCAGCATTTTGGCACCAAATATGTTGATCCATCACCTTGTCCACCGGTTCTGCCACTCTCCCACCCTGTCCCTGAGAGTCAAGGGTGCCAGGGCTGGGGGCACAGGGCTCCCAAATCGCCACGCCTGCTCTTCCCACCCCCTGGATCACGAAGCACCCAGGCCTTGCCTGGTTGGTGAGGCCATCACTTCCAGCCCTTCCTGCTGCCCTCGAAATGGGAGCGAATGGGGGAGGGGCAAGACAGGGTCAAGGTATCCTGAATTGACGCCCAGTTTAGGGGACCCCCTGAGGGACCCCACCGGGCTTTGGGTCTCCCTCCCTCCTGCAAGCTTAAGAAGTGCATTTTGGCCGCAAAGCTTCAGGAAGAGCCTTGCAAAACGCAAGGGGGTCGCGCCGATAGAGAAACCTGATGTAGGACCCCGTAAATCATGGGGTAGGACTGCATCAGCTGCTGCTGCTGCTTTTACTGATATAAACAGGGCTCCCTTCGGGCAACAGCTTAACTTGCGTGACTGAATTAACCCATCTTATCATTTCTTTCCCTACTCTGAACTATGCGCCACGCAAAGGGCTGGTTGGCACAACCGACTAAGAGGTAACCCAACAAGGTAAACAAACAGCCGGGCTGAAGGGACTACTGAGGATCAAAGGTAACTCCTGGGATCCAACTGTAAAGTGTCATTTTGATCCGCTTCGCGATGCACTGCATCTT